TTGTTATAATCATTATGGCTACTATGATAACTGTTGTTAGAATTAATTTTTCTTCATTTCGCTTTATCAATCGCAATTCTCATTTCACTTAAAAAAATTCCCAAACTACTATCAATAGAATTTCTAACTTTTTCTCTCCAATCACCATAAGGAGACCATAAACTAGAGTCTAAATCGGAAGCGGATACACCGGCCAAATTCAAGTTTTCCTCCATGTTCCGGATAGCCTCATTTTGAATTCTTTCTTGCTCTCGATTAAGACTTTCTTCGTGTTCGTTAAGGTCTTTCTCTATATTATCTAAATCTCTTTCTACTTCCCTTAACATTTCTTCAAATTCTTTAAATTTGTCTGAGCCAGGTTTGTTGGAAAATTTGAATTCCCTCTTTGGTCTTCCTGACTTTGCTGATGATGAACTTAAACTTTGAAATGCTTCGCCAACTTCGATAAATTTTTGTTTGGCTCACGCCTCATTACCGTGATTTCGGTCGGGGTGATATTTTAGAGCCATTTTTTTGTAAGCCTTTGCTATTTCGTCTTGGGTAGCACCAGGGCTAACTCCTAATATTTCATATGGATTCATAATTTTATAAATTTATTAAATATTCTATTAATTTTAATTGTTATTGTGGGGAGGAACTTCTTGCCGTGCCTCGTATTGCTGTTGTTGTTCCTCTTGTCGGAATTGTCGTTGTTGTTCTTGTAATTTTGCTTCTTCTATCTTTAAATTAGCAAACTTTTTGCATTTACTACAAAGTTTTTGAACATCTTCCATTCTTAACCTTCTTTCTCCTTCTAGCAATTCATCTTTAATCACTTCAATATCATCCTCTGCCGTAGCAACATTATTTCTATTATAGTCTTCACGAGCCTCAATTAACCGTCGATAGGCTTTACGCAACTCACGAGGTATTCTACGACTAACTCCCAATGTCTGAGTAAATTCATCTAATCTTTTTTCTTTCTTTTCAAGTTTATGATTAAAGATCTCAATTTGAGATTTACCCAATTCTTCCTTTAAACTCCTAATATCTTTGCCTTTAATCTCTAATTCCTTGCCTTTTTTACTATCTTCAATTCTTAAATCATTAAATAATTCTCCTAAATCTTTTAATTCCTTCCTCGTTGTCGTTAACTCTCCTTTTGTTTCAGTCAACTGACCTCGAGTATTCGTTAAATCAGTATTTAAAATAGCAATTTGATTATTTTTTTCGGCTACTTCTGTGGTTTTACTTGATAATTGACCTTGTAGAGAAGAATTTTGTGAACTTAAACTGCTGTTTCTATCTTCTGCTCTCCTCAATGCTTCCGCTGTTCCATGGTCACAACAACCATGACAATTATGACAAGTCATAGTTCAGTTATCACAAGTTCAACATCGCCTATGGTCATTAGTTCAAGCATATTTATAACCGTGACAATTATGACATCACTGTGTTCAAGATGTTGCTGGCATATTATTTAATATTGTTTAAAGCCACAGGGGCTATTTTATTCATTTTCATAAGTTTTATAAATTTTTTAAAA